TTCCCCCCCCCCCCCCCCAAGATCTCTGCTTTGGCACAGAAAAGCTCTGCTCTGGCAGGTGCTTGGTGGTTTCTCCCCCAAATCCACCACGTTGCCACCCTTGTGCTTTTCTTGCTTTGTCCCTTTCTCTGCCTCCGGCTCACGGCGTCTGTGGGCACTACCTCTTCACTTTATTCCCTTCCCCAAGAGCAGATCCCTCTGAAACCCCTTGGTGTAAACCAACCAGTGGTGGTGGGTCCCTCCTGGCCCTCAGTAAGTCCAGCATCTGGCTCCACTTCTCTGGTGTTTACCATCGTCCTGCCCTTGAGTGAGGGGCTTCCACGTAGCCATACCCAGTGCTGCGCCTGGTAGGGAAACTCTGAGCCCCCCTGGTGACTTCACTGTGGCCATCACACAGCACCAGAAAACACTGAATCCTGTGTGAATTCACCACGGTGAGTCAGCCGGGATGTGTTGGATGCCTGGGTGGCAGCAAAGGCTGCCCTGATATTTGTTTTTTTACAGAGCCAGGCAACCTGGGCCACCTCTCTGTGCGAATGTCCTCCTTCGTGTCCCCCGAGCTGAGCCCCAATGTGTCCGTGTCCTGCTCCCAACCCACTCTGTCCCCTCTGCTTTGGGGGGCTTTCTTATCCCCCTGCCCAGCATCACCCTGATATCTCAACCCAACAGGAAGGGCTCTGCAGCCTCCGGGTGAGAGTCCTGGCCAAGAAATGGTTTAAATCCATCCCAGAAAGGGGAGTGTGCCCTGGAGAGGGCAATCCTGAGCCCTCAGTGTTCCTCCTGCAAGTAAAGACTTGAGGCCAAGTGATTTAAACACTGTTGGGAGCATCCCGTCAGTACCTGCCTCAGCAGGTGGCAAAAAGGTTCATCTCAGTTTGGCTCAATAATGATTTTTGCTGGTTTGGGTTTTGTTTTAATTGGCTTTGTTACTTCTAACCCTCTCATTTACTCGGCTTGCTGTCCCCTTCACCCTTTTCTGTGCATCGTATATTTGACGGTCGCCTTAATGTCCTCCCTTTTCAATGTGGGATTCCTCGGCTTCACTTTTTCGGTGTATCCCATCCCCGGGCTCCTGGAACCCTTGGGGTTGATGATACTTGCTCTGTGACAGCGAGACAAAATCATGCTTGGAAACCCTCTCTCTTTGGCTGTGAATTCCCTTCTCTGCCTCCTGAGACCCGGCCAGGAGCAGGAGGCGTGGGCGAGGAGCAGTGTTTGGTGGAGCACCTGTTACTTGTTAAGCTTTAATGGGATCAAAGTGGTTATTAATAGAGTTAAGCTCGTTCCCTCCTACCTCACCCCTTTGCCTTCCCCTGCAGTTGCCTGGTTGAAGCTCTGTCCCCAGCTCTGGTGGGCTCTCACTGCTATCTGGAGGGGTTTGGAAAATCCCTCGGAAAGACCCGGCCACGTCGCTGTCTGTCACCCCACAAACTCGTGGGGGTTCGTAGCAGCCACCAACCATTACCAGATTCCAGCCCGTGTTGCAGATGCCAGCGTGGGCCAGTGGCCTTGGGCAGACTTAGTGGTGTCTTTGTGCTCAGTTTATCAGTTCTTGTGAGTCCAACCGCTGCTCTCCAGCACTTATCAGTTCTTGGGAGGCTTTGGCACGCCGCCTTCCAACCCGTATCGTTCCTCTCTTCTGCTTTTTGTTTTCTGGCAGCCCTGTCCTTGCTCACGCCTGTGGGAGTCTCTTCTCAGGCACCTCTAGGTCAGTTTTACATCTGCTTTTGTGGAAGCTCCCTCCCTGTGTCAGGCCAATGGTCTTGCTTTCCTCTGTGCAACGTGGTGCTTGGAGGCTCTTAAAGCACCTGCTGCTCCTGACGTCCCCTGCACCCCCCTGCCTCTCACCGGGGTGTCTCCAGACATGGGAGCTGGACCAAACCACCTGAATTCAGCTGTTTTCAACGAAGAGCTCCTTGTTCCAGCTGGTCGCTCTTGGCTGCACATCAGGCCCTTGTTGGAAGTGATTTCATGTGGGGTTTCTGAGATGGATTGTGCTTTAACCTTCTTCTTCTCCTTGGCTAAACCAATCCACGTGCAGTATCCTGAAAGGGAACAGCAAATCCAGCTATGGGGATCTCCCAGGTGGATGTCAGAGCCCGATGTCTCTTGTTGAGCTGTGCCAGCACTGAGCAGGCTCTGGAGGTATCAGCAGGCTTGGATGGAGCCTGGAGAAACACTGGCCTGTGAGAGGAGCATTTATTGAGAAGGAGATCAAAAACCACCCTGACGCGCTTGAGAGCCGAATTGTGCTGTTGAATCCCCAGGGGCTGGAGGCTGAACCCCTTTGTGTGTCCACTCTGTGCCCAAGGCAGGGCTGACACCTCCTTTGTCACGGTTGAAGGGTCACGTAGGCACCCAGGGAGACCCAGCACCCTCCAAGGAGCTTTTCAAAGCCCTGCCTGGAAGCTGCTGGGCAGCCAGTGTGGCCTCTGGTGGCTGGGGGCATGGTTGAGGCCAGTTCCTCAGCTATTGCTCCAACCAGGTAACTATGAGCAGGTCCTGGAAGGAAGCGAGTTGCTCTGTGCTATGAACAGCAGCTGCTTTTGGGTGCTGGTAACAGGCTCACGGGTAAAAAGGCTTTTAAGTGCCAGTCTGGGCTGTTTCTGTGGCGCTTGGTCTGCCCATCGCCTCCATCCCCCGTAGGGGAAAGGGATTGGTGACGCCGGGTTTTACAAACTGTAGTGTCTGTGTCCCTGCCTTCTTCCCCCACCTCCTTCACGATCCCTCCCTCCCTGCGTGTCTCTGACCTCCCCCTTGTGCTGCTGCCACCCATGTCTTCATCTTCCTGCTCGCTCCCTCCCTCGTGGTCCTGCCCTCGGCCTGTCCTCCCTCTCACACTCTCCTTCCTTGTTTTTGCAGGGGCTGCCATGGAAGGGCAGCCGGGTCCTGCAGCCTGCGAGCCCCCCTTTTCACAGAGGCTCTCCCCCCTTTCTGAAGGAGATGGGCCTGAAGGTGAAGAAGAGCAGGAGGAGGACACAGCTGGGGTGGAACCAAGAGAAGAGCTGGGGGGAGGCTCTCTGGAGCAGCTGGGGCGAGCTTCTCCACGCCGCTCGGGACGGTGCTGCCACAGGCAGGGCTCTCTCGCTCCTCAGGGTGCAGGCAGGCCCTGCCAGAAGACTGGTGAGGATGAGGGGGCTTCCCCATGCCACCAGGCTCCGGAGGAGCTGTGGCCGTGCCGGCAGAAGCACCGTCTGTGCCTGAAGCCTGAGACGAGCCGGGTCCCCGTGTCCCTGGGGCAGGGGGAGAGCGCCGAAGAGCCGGGACCCTCCCGGGGGAAAAGGCTGCGGTTGATCTGGGGCCGGGCAGGTGACTTCAGGCAGAGGGAGATGGAGAACGGGCTGGAGGAGGTGGAGGAAGAGAGAGGGTCTCGGTCCTGCTCCCCGGAGCTGCCCCTTTCTGACGACGCCCGCCCCAAGCCCGACTTTGTGCAGCTGATTGACGAGCGTGGTATCTACTCCACAGCCAAGCTGGTGCTGGGCAGCGCGGTGGGGGAGCTGGAGGAGGCTGCGGTGGGGCTGCCGGCCCACCCGAAGCGGGGAGCGAGTGGCGTGGGCGAGCTGGAGATCCGCGAGGTGATCGTGGATGAGAAGCCCTTCCAGTGCGGCGTCTGCGAGAAGGCCTTCAAGCGGGCCTGGGAGCTCTTCAGCCACGAGGTGGTGCACAACGAGGAGCGTCCCTTCCGCTGCGACCTCTGCCAGGCCTCCTTCAAGCGCCACTCGGACTTCAAAAGCCACCGGCTGGTCCACACGGAGGAGCGGCCTTTCCGCTGCGAGCTCTGCGGCAAGCGCTTCAAGCGCTCCTCCAACCTGCAGGAGCACCGGCGCATCCACAGCGGCGAGCGGCCCTTCCGCTGCCCCCGCTGCGCCAAGAGCTTCAAGACCCCCTACGAGCTGCAGCGCCACGCGCTCACCCACTGCGCCGAGAAGCCCTTCAAGTGCGCCGACTGCGGGAAGGACTTCCCCACCTCCAACGCCCTCCTCCTCCACCAGCGCCAGCACTGCGACGACAAGCCCCACGTCTGCGGGGTCTGCGGCAAGAAGTTCACCTACGGGCACAGCCTCAAGGTGCACGAGCGGGTGCACACGGGCGACCGCCCCTTCGTCTGCCCGCTCTGCGGCAAGGGCTTCAAGCAGTCCAACGCCCTCTCCTCCCACGAGCGGGTCCACACCGGGGAGCGCCCCTTCGTCTGCAAAACCTGCGGGAAGGCCTTCAAGCAGTCGTCCTACCTGGTGATCCACGAGCGGGCCCACACCGGGGAGCGCCCCTACAAGTGCGAGGTGTGTGGGAAGGCCTTTGCCCGGCCCTCCCTGCTGCTCCAGCACCACCGCGTGCACAGCCAGGAGCGGCCCTACAAGTGTAGCTTCTGCCACAAGTTCTTCAAGGACCTGGCCTACCTGGCCGTGCACGAGAAGGTGCACACAGGGGAGACCCCTTACAAGTGCAGCGTCTGCGACAAGGGCTTCGCTCACCCCTCCAACCTGCTGCAGCACCAGCGCGTGCACCGCGACGGCTGAGCCCCGGCGCGGCCGGTGCAGCTCCGGTGTTGCCAAGCCGCAGCGGCCGTCGGCGCGCTGCCGATGGGCCACCGCTGGCAGCAGACGAGCCCCAGGCGGGGGGGACCCCGTAGGCGCGGCCCAGGACTGGTGCGGACCCCGAAAAGCTGTGGCGTTTCTCCTGAGCCCCTGGAGGACCTGCAGGACCAGCAGGACCCTGCCCAAGCTGTGGAGCTCCCAGCAGGCATGCTGTGGCTCGTGGCACTCTGCCGGTGGGCAGGCAGGAGCCCTCTTTGCCCTCGTGCGGGGAGAAGGGTTGAGACCTCCCTACGTCATCCCAAGACCCCCTCCCCAGTCATCCCAGTGAGCTTGGCTCCACACGGGCTGGGGGCTCCCCTGGGGAGTCAGGGGACACTGTCACCTGCAGGAGGGGACAGACCTGCCTGGTTTTGGGGAGAGAGCTGCAACAACAGCACAGGCAGTGGAAAGGATCACGGGGAAGAGTGAGCATCTCCCTTTCCCCCTGAAGCTTTTTGGGGTTCAAGTGTCCCATCCGTATCTCATGTTGCTGCTAATGACCTGGTTAATCACCCCTTTTCTTTCTGCCCCAGGGTGCTAGCGGGGCTGGTAGGGAGCAGAAGAGAAGGGGGGGACATACTGTTACCGTCCACTTTGGGAGCCTCAGCAAGCAACACCCAGCACTTCAAGTCCTACAGCTGCTCCTGGGACTTTCCAGGCAGGAACCTGGATGGGGTACGGGCAAGCAAGACACAACCAGTCCTCTGCCTCCTCCTCCTCCTCCTCCTCTCTTGCTTGCCAGAGCTACTCCCGTGCTGATGGCTGCTGGGCAGAGGGTGGCATGTGGACCTTTGCTGGTGAGGGCGAGATGGGAGCCTTGTCCTTGCCCGCGCTGGTGCCCTTGTGCCGTCCCTCACACTCCTGGAGAGCCTGGGTCCCACCTCATCCCCATTTTTCATATGGTCCCTGTAGTGCTGGGAACGGTGGGGGGTGGGATGTGCACGCTCCTTGGCGCTCTGCACACTAATTACAGGATGGTTATTTAATGATGGCTCTGTCTCATTGCCTTCTCCAGGCCTTGCCTGGGTCTTGACGTGGGCTTTTGCTGCCTTCTTCCCACCCAGTACCTTCTCCCAACGTCCTTCAACGTGGGTGGGAGGTGTCTCTCTGCGTGTTGCTGGCAGACATGGTAAGGAGAGACCCACCAAATCCTCAGTGTGAGGTGGATCTCACACACCACCACTGAGCCTGTACCCTGCAGAAGTTGGTTGCAAGGTGGGCCAGCAAGATGCATTTGGGATTTGGGCTGGTGGATCCCCCTGCAAAGAAGGTTGTGGGCCTCCTGGTCGTGTTGGTCTTTTCCTCTGCCCCACAGCTTCCCAACTTCATCCCACTTCAACCCTTGACACAGCACTGGGGCAGCTCTGGCCTCTTCCAAATGCTGTTCCCGGCGTTGGATCATGAGGTTGTGATTTGATTTCAGGATGGAACCTGTCCCTGAACATACTCTGTAGTCCAGCTGGTGCTTGACACATCTCAGCTGCTTCCCGTCCTGGGGTTTGCTGTGTCCATGTGTCTCCAGACAAGGGGAGTTGCACCTGCAGCCCTGGGAACAGACTGCCAGAGGTCATAATGGTTCTTCACCCTTTAAGGCTTGATGAGACTCCCAAGGTGTCACATTGGCCATGAAACACCTACACGATGTGTGTTGTAACAGTGGGGGTGTCTTCAACCCAACCCCAGAGCAGAGGCAGCTCCACTCGGGCCATATTCCCCACAAACTCACCCTCTCTGTTCACTCATGGTCCTGAGCAGAAGGGGTTTTCTCATAAAAATGGACAAATGTGGGGACTTGGGTGAGTGAAATGGATTGGTGGAGCCATACCCTGAGGCACAGGAACAGAGGGCCCCATTTGTCCACCAGGCCCATCCCACAGGGAAGTCACCTGGGGCCAGGATGGAGGATACATGGAGAAATCTTACCCTGGTTTGGCCCTCAGATTTCTACCCATTACTGATATTTCAAGTAGGTGGTGATGACGTAGCTACCAGAAGTCTTGGGGCAACGAAGAGAGACTTGAGGGCCCTGGTACGGCTGGGTAAGGGATGAGGAGCACAAGTAGTGTCCTCCTCTATCCCACCAGTTGCAGGGATTGATGAGGGGATGAACAGGAAGAGCCAGCAGGAAACCTGTGATGTAGTTGCCATCACAGGAACGTGGTGGGAAGACTTAACACAACTGGAGTGCTGTGATTGATGGCTACCAACTTTTCAGAAGGGATAGGCAAGGAAGGAGAGGCGGTGGGGTGGGACAGGTTTGATTGCCTAGAACTTAACAACGTGAATGACAGCGTTGAGTGTTTATGGTGGGACATCATGGTGGGAGTTTGTTACAGACCCCCCAACCAGGATGTAGAGGCTGATGAAATGTTCTACAAGCAGCTGGCAGAGGTCTTGTAATCACTCACCCTTCTTCTTGTGGGAGGCTTCAGCTTCCCAGATGTCTGCTGGAAATACAACACAGCAGAGAGGGAACAGTCCCAGAGGTTCCTGGAGTGTGTAGAAGACAATCAGGGAAAGTGCCCCACTGGACCTACTCTTCTTAACAGAGAAGGTCTGGTGGGGGATTTAAAGGTTGGAGGTCATCTTGGGCGGAGCGATCATGGATAGGGTTTTCAGTTCTTGGAGAAGCAAGGCAGGGAGCCAGCAGAACTGTCACCTTGGACTTCTGAAGGGCAGGCTTTGGCCTGTTTGGAAGCATGGCTGACAGTGTCCTCTGGGAGATAGTCCTGAAGGGCAAATGTGCCCAGGAAGGCTGGTCATACTTCAAGGAGGAACTCTTAAAAGCACAGGAGAAGGCCTTCCCCAAGGTCGCAAAAAACAAGCCAAAGGAGAAGAAGACCAGCCTGGCTGGACCTCAGGAACAAAAGAAAAGCTTATGATCTTTGGAAAAGGGGGTTGGCAGCTTATGAGGAATACCAAGATGTAGTGAAGCTGTGCAGGGGGGAAATTAGAAGGGCCAAAGCTCCAGCAGACACAACTTGGCCACTACAGTTAAAAATAACAAGAAGAGGTTCTTTCAGTATATTAGTAGAAAAAGGAAGACTAGGGAAAATGTAGGCCCACTGATGAATGAGGTGGTGGAAGACCCAGAGAAGGCAGAGTTACTGAGTGCCTTCTTTGCTTCAGTCTTCACTGCTGAAGCTGTCACTCGTGAATCCCAGACCTGGAGGGAAGGGGGAAGGTCTGGAGAGAGGAAGATTTTCCCTCAGTAGAGGAGGACCGGGTGAGAGACCACTTGGCCACACTGGACATCCTGAAGTCCGTGGGCCGTTATGGAATGCACCTACGAGTGCTGACAGAACTGACAGATGTTATTGCTGGGCCACTCTCATCATCTCTGAAAGGTCATGGAGAACAGGAGAGGTACCTGAGGACTGGAGGAAGGCCAACATCACTCCAGTCTTCAAAAAGGGCAAGAGGGAGGACCCAGGGAACTGCAGGCCGGGTAGTCTCACTTCTGTTCCTGGGAAGGTGATGGAGCGATACGTTCTGGATGTCATCTCCAAGCACGTTGAAGAACAGGAAGTTATTGGGAGTGGTCAACATGGATTTACCAAGGGTAAATCATGCTTGACCAATCTGATAGCCTTCTATGATGCTACAACTGGTTGTTTGGATGAGTGGAGAGCAGCAGATGACATCTACCTTGACTTCAGCAAGGCTTTTGACACCGTCTCCCATAAGATCCTCATTAGGAAACTGAGGAAGTGTGGGCTGGATGAGGGGGCAGTGAGGTGGATTGAGTCCTGGTTGTGTGACAGGACTCAGAGGGTTGTAATTAATGGAGCAGGGTCAAGTTGGAGGCCTGTGACCAGTGGTGTCCCCCAGGGGCCAATACTTGGTCCAATCTTGTTCAACATATTCATCAATGACCTGGACGAGGGGACAGAGTGTATCCTCATCAAGTTTGCTGATGATACCACAGTAGGAGGGCTGGCTGACACCCCAGAGGGCTGCGCCACCATCCAGCGTGACCTGGACAGGCTGGAGAGCTGGGCAGAGAAGAACCTCATGAGGTTCAACAAGGGCAGGTGTAGGGTCCTGCCCCTGGGGAGGAAGAACCCCAGGCACCAATACAGGTCAGGGGTGGACCTGCTGGAAAGCAGTTCTGAGGAGAAGGATCTGGGGGTCCTGGTGGACAGTAACCTATCCATGAGGCAGCAATGTGTCCTTGTGGCCAAGAGGGCCAGTAGAATCCTGGGCTGTGTAGGGAAGAGTGTGGCCAGGAGGTGGAGGGAGGTCCTTCCCCTCTGCTCTGCACTGGTGAGGCCACCACTGAAATCCTGCCTCCAGTGCTGGGCTCCCCAGTTCAAGAGAGACAGGGAACTGCTGGAGAGAGTCCAGCGAAGGGCAACAAAGATTATTAAAGGATTAGAGCATCTCCCTGATGAGGAGAGGCTGGGAGAGCTGGGACTCTTTAGCCTGGAGAAGAGAAGGCTGAGGGGAGACCTCATCAATGCTTACAAGGATCTAAAGGGTGGGTTGAAGCAGGATGGAGCCATATTCTTCTCAGTGGTTCCCAGTGACAGGACGAGGGGCACAAGCTGGAACATGGGAAGTTCCACTCAAATATGAGGAAGAACTTCTTTGGGGTGAGGGTGGCAGAGCCCTGGAACAGGCTGTCCAGGGAGGGTGTGGAGTCCCCTTCTCTGGAGATCTTCAAGCCCCACCTGGATGCTCCTGAGTGATGTGCTCTGGGCAATCCTGCTTTGGCAGGGGAGTTGGATTAGATGATCTCTAGAGGTCCCTTCCAACTCCGACAATTCTGTGATTCCGTGACATAGGATTTGGAGGACACCTGATGGTGCTGGTGGCAGGAGGTGGCTGCCTACCTGGTGTCATTTAGGTCACTCCAGGTCTCTTTCACATCATATTTTTGCCTCTGTGTGTGTATTGCGCACCTGAAGGCACCTCCAAAGATGCATGTCACCTGTGTAGGAGCAGCCCAATGAAGCTCTCCAAATGGTTGATGGAGCTCTGGGGTTGCATTCAACAGCTGAGGCCATCAGAGATGATCTGGGGTGCCCAGTTGGCCTTCAGCTTCTCTTCCAGGTGAGCTTGCATCTCTCATAAGACCCTATGTCCTATATGCCAACCCCCCTGGGAGTATCTGGGATGGTTGAGGGCGTCTCATGTGGCACTAGGTGGGTGGTAGCTAGACTGTGCTCTCATGGTTGGATAAGCCCCAACCTTTGATGAGCATCTTGCCCTGTTGGATCTTCAGCCTTTGGCATCCTGGAGGCCAAAGGTTTACCTTCGTGATCTGCTGCATTTCAGAGCAGGTGAGAGGACCATCTCTGGTGGCTCAAGCCCCAGGGTGGCTGCTCCCAGAGATGCCCGTCTCGGCATTAAGGCTTTTCTCATGTACTGGGATCATGCGTTGTATCATCACCAAGCAATGGATAAGGTCACCAAGTGATGATCTTGTGGCCCACACCAGCTTGGTAGTTGGCAAGGAAAGGGGTGGCCTTGCTGCTGGAGGAAATTATTTCAGGTTTTGTTCTGCTTTGGATGTCCTGCAGTCCCCCTGTCCCCTCTCGGCTGTGGGGGCTGATCTCATGCCCAGCTTTTCCAATCCACCTTCAGATGTTTGCTCCAGCATGTGGTGAGCTCCTAGAGTTTCTCAGGCAGGACCTAGGGGACAGCTTCACCTGGGGTGAGGAGTAAGGGGGCTCGTGTGGAAGGCTTCCACTTTATTTCTGGGCATATTGGCCTCCAAGCAGTTCTGCCTCTGATTTTACTCCTAATCTGGGGACTCTCCCGCCCCTCTGAAGCATCACAAGAAGGAGATATGGGGAAAAGCTTCTGGCTCAGTACCTTTCCCAGTTTTGGAATGTTGTCCATCCCTGGGGAAGCTGTAGAGAGGACGGGGAACAATATACCCATGTTTCCTTCAGTCTTCGTCAGGGAAGGCATCAGTTCCCTCGGCAAAGGTCACCTCCTGCTGTTGGGACCTCTGCTCATTGACCCTCCAGGCCCCCCTCCCATCAGGCGCTTTGGGGACTCAGCCCTCAGTTTGTGAACCTGATGGACCCTGAGGTGAACCTGAGGGTGAGGTCCCTCTGCATCAGGATGCCCTTGGGCATGGAGTGCTGGTGGAGAACTGCAACCTCCCAGGCAAGAGCACACCTCGTGCCCCATGAGCCTCAGCAGGGAGGTTCCTGAGGGATGGTTGCAGGTTGGGGGTGTGGAGCAAGGAAAATGGGGCTCTGTGGCCACCTCAAAATGCATCCGGGTGGGACGGGTGAGTATTGGGAATTGCACGTTGGAGCTCTGGCAGTTGGGGTGGTCAGGAACTCGGGGTCTTGGTTCCATCCAAGGTCTGGGGGAAGCTGTGGCAGAGAAGCACAGAAGCAGTTTGTTTCGTGTCCCCCCCCCAGCACTCACACCCATCATGCCTGGAGGGTTGGGGACCCCCTTTTAATTCGTTTGCACCCCTCCTTCTGCTCCTCTGCTCCTTTAGCTCAGCCTTGTGCCTCCTGCCAGGTCCATTGGGCTCCTCCTGAGCCGCGGGGGCTGGGCGGGTGGTACCAAGGCCAGTTAAATAAATGTCACCAGACTGGGAGACCCCTCTTGGTCGGCTGGTTTGGGGTTCCTCATGTAAGTCACTGGTACCAGCTGGTTTTGAAGTGTCCTGCCCGCCAGCTGCTGCTTTAGAGTCTTCAGGAAAGTGGGTTGAGGAAAAAGGGGGGGCAGCAGGAGGCCGGTGCCACCCCTGGGCCAGGAGCTGGTGTCATGGGGCATCTTCCTTCATGAGCTGCGTCGTCTCGGTGTCGGCATCCTCGGGGGCTTCTGCCTTGGTGGGGAGGTAGATGGCCCCCATGGGCTGGAAGGACGTCGCTGAAGGGCTCTGGACCCCGGGGTGCTGACGGGCTGCGAGATGGAGAGGACACCGGGCTGTCACCAGGCTCCAGCAGCCACCTCCACATCTCCCAGGGTTTTGGGGTGGCCGGAGCAGGGACTGGAAGTTGGAGGTGGGGGTGAAGGGCAGGGGGGGTAAGACACACAGAGGGATGTGACTGTCACCTCCAGCATGGGCTGCTGCCATGCACCTCCTCTTCAGGTTGAGCCACAGCAGGACCCCGCTCAGCAGCATCACCAGGGCCAGGAGCACAATCAGCACCGCGCAGGAGGGAGAAGCACCTGGTTTGGGGGGAGACCAGACTCGGGGTCCCATTTCCAGCCGAGACCAGTAACAGCGTGGAGAAACCCTGATGTCTAACACAGCCTGTCCCCCGGGAGAGCAGCTCAGCTGCTGCTGGAGGTGGGCTTTCCTTAATTTAGCTTCACCATTTCCCTGCGTGGACGATGGGGTGGTGGGGTTGGAGTGACCTTCCATGTTCCTGCTGCTCTTAGAGCCTGCACCAGCTCCCTCGTGCGTTTTTCCGCTTCAGATTTGGGGTGCTGCTCCTCACACACGCCTGTTTCTGACCCTCCCCCATCCTTCAAAGTTGTCCCAGCTCTACCACAAACCATCAGAGAAACGGTGGCTGGTCCTGGAGGGAGCCCAGAGGGTTTGGGGGAGAGGGGAACTAGGGGGTGCGTGGAAGGAAATTTGGGCTTCAAGAAGAAATGGGAGGGATGAGTTGTGTTCTGAGCGAGGAAAGCATCTCTGGTGCTCCCGAGGGTGTCAGAAAATGAGGTGTGTCCCCCAGAAAAGGCCCTCAAGAACTGGCTGGGATGAACACGTGCCATTTTTCCCACTTTCTTCTCGCCTTGGGACTGCCTCCCTGCTCTGGTGTGGACCCCATGGAGGATCGTGGCTCTCACCCTTTGGCTTCGTGCACACCACGCCGGCCGCCGAGCCCTGCTGGCAGGACCCCAGCCCGGACCCCTTCTGCTGGCACTCCAGGAGCAGGGACTCGCTCCCCCGGCAGCTCAGCCCCTCCAGCAAGGCACGGCCGGTCTCCTGCCTGAACTGGGCTCCCAGGGGCGCCGACTGGGCTGGCCCACAGCCCAGCTGCCTGCAGACCACCTCGGCTTCCAGCAAGCTCCAGCCGTTGCTGCAGACCCCGTGCCAGGTAGCGTTGTAGAGCACCTCCACCCGCCCCGCGCAGGGACCGGGGCCGTCCTGCAGCCGCACCTGCAAGGGGTTTGTGCCTGCAAGAGGGGGTGAGATGTCCCCTAAGACCCAGCAGGCGGATGGAGAGGGGCACACGTGCCCTTTGCCACCTGTACCTGCTGCACGATTCACCTTCCCCCCTCCCCACCCCCCAGCTCCCTCACAGGGTCACTCATAGAATGGTTTGCGTTGGAAGGGACCTTATGGATCATCTCGTTCCAACCCCCTGCCCTGGGCAGGGACACCTCCCGCTAGACCAGGTTGCTTAAAGCCCCTTCCAGCCTGGCCTTGAAACCTCTGATTCCCATCACTGATGTCCCACCAGCCCTCCCAGTCCTGGATAAAACCCTTTTTTGAGCGTTCTCCCCGGGGAGCACCTGAGCACACGACGGCCGCGTCTTCCTTGTGGTTGCAGTTGTGGACTCCCCAGCCGCCGAGGCTGCACTGGGTGAAGGTGGTCTCCATGCCGGTGCACTCCACATCATCCAGCCAGATGGGGTCCAAGCCTTGCCCAAAGTGAGCCGAGTCCGGGGCCGACACGGCCGTCCCGCAGCCCAGCTGCCGGCAGATCACCTTGGCGTCCTTCAGATCCCAGCTGTCGTCGCAGATGGTCCCCCACCGCCCTTGGTGGAACACCTCCACTCTCCCGGCACAGCGGTTCGGGCCAGCAGCCAGGCGGACCTGCACCTCCTCCGTCATGTTGGCATCTGCCAGGAGAAAGCCAGTTAGGAAAGGCGAACAGGACACCAATCACCTCCCCCCCCCAAAAAAAAAAAAATCCCCAAACCAGAAGCCAGAGTGCAAATACAGAGTTGTTGTGGTCCCCTCCCAGCAAGGGATGCAACCCCCCCCAGTCCTTCCAGAGGAGCATAGCTGTAGGGATGGACTTCAGTTGCACTTCCAAACCCTAAAATCATGATGTCTCCTCCATGCAAGTGTGTGGACCAGGCAATGGAGACCAGGCTGGGGATTTGGCATTGGGTGGTCCCCTTGAGACAGGGCTTGGCTTGCTTAGTGCCACGGGGAGGGGGGTGTGAAGGTTTCGATGAGATGTTGCTTGTGAATGGGGTGGGAACCTGTTGCTGGGTTGGGGACAAGCCCGGCCAAGAGACTATGACCTCTTTGCCAGCCTCCTTCCCCAAAAGTCATGCCTTTCCGGAGCCAGCATCACCCCAGAGGCAGCCAGATACCCTCCTGTCCCTGGAGGTGTTCAAAAGATGGGTTGATGTGGTGCTGGGAGGTCTGGTTTAGTGATGATGCTCCTTGTTTGTTGTGTGGGTGTCTATTTTTGTCAGTCAGGTTGACGGTTGGACAAGATGATCTTTAAGGTCCCTTCCAACCTAGAAGATTCTGTGATTCTGTGATTCTGTGCCCACCCCCGATGCCCCGTGTCCCAGGATGGGATGTACCTGAACACACCACGCCAGCATCTTCTCCATGGTTGCAGTTGCTCTCTCCCCAGGGACGAGCTCGGCACTGGGCAAGGTTGTCCTCGGTCCCAGTGCAGCTCGTGTCGTCCAGCCAGATGCGTCCCGTCCCCTGCCCGAAGCGAGCCCGGCCAGGGGCTGCCACGGCCCTGCCGCAGCCCAGCTGCTGGCACACCACCCTCGCCTCGCTCAGGTCCCAGCCGTCGTCGCAGACCGTCCCCCACTGCGCGTCGTGGAGGACCTCCACCCTCCCGGCACAGCGGCCTGGTCCTTCTGCCAGGCGGATCTCTGCCCTGGCCTGGTCTGCGGGCAGAGAAGCGGGAGATGTAGAGGTGAGGACAAGAGGACCACATGTCCAAGGGGGGCTTTCCGGTGGTGGTGGCCAGGTTGCATAGAATCATAGAATTGCCCAGGCCGGAAGGGACCTCCAAGGGTCATCTAGTCCAACCTCCCCGCAGTCAGCAGGGACACCCCCAACTAGACCAGGTTGCCCAGGGCCTTGTCGAGCCTCTCCTTGAATATCTCCAGGGATGGGGCCTCAACCACCTCCCTGGGCAACCTGTTCC